GCGGGACTCGATCCAGGGACTCCAGGATCATGACCTGAGCCGAAGGCAGTCGCTTAACCAACTGAGCCACCCAGGCGCCCTAAATCCTTTTTCCTTTGATCAGTGTTTCCCTCTTGTATTATATATTAAAGACCATTTGATTGCCCACATTAATTGAGCTGCAAAAAAAAAAAGTGTCAGAAAACAATGAGCTGTCAACAGTGAAATGGAATGGGGAATTTTTGAATGACCCATAATTTCATGCTAGAAACACTTTCCAACAAGATGACTACATGGGCTGCATCCAGTCTCTGGGAATTGCCCTGAGCTGATTTTGAGAATGCTGGACAAACATGTCAAACACCATTTAGCCTGAACCTGAGCTTCTAGCAATTCACTAGGGACCCTCACAGACAGTCCAGCTCCCTGATACATGGTCATTGGCCAACTGTACAGTCTTTGCAACAACATAGAGCAAAAAGCATGTGCTCTGTAGCTAATCAAAGACCTGATGTGGATGGAGTGACTCCACCCCGACTCGTCCCAGGCCTGGTACAGGAATTCATGACCACATGACCCAGCCTCAAAGGTCAGAACCCCTGACATGTTCGTGTGTCTTCTAAATTAGGAAACCTGTAAGGATAAGTGTTGCTGATGGCCAAAATATTATTTCCATGTGGAGAGAGGTGTATGAGGGGGTAAGCGGATTGGCTTCAAAATTTAAGTAATATGGAAAGAAATGTAGAACACCCAAACTGCCATGTGAGTGCTTTGTGGTCCATTCTCTTTGGGGTTTGATTGTTTTGTTTTGTGTTTTGCTTTTGGGGGCTTTTTTCTGTTCAAACCTTAGCAAAGTGAATTGGGTGCAGACATACTTTTTTCTATCAGGCATTGACAGCCTTAGTCATGGTTCCCTCCTTCTACTAGTCAGAATTAGGGCTCCCGCCAAGCTTAACATAGACACTTGCCAGAGGTCTCAGTTTCTCAGAGAGTGGGAGAGAGCCATCAGCTTCAGAGAAGCTACTGAGAATGCAGATTCCAGGGCCTGCTCAGAAACAGAAACCAGAAGCTCTAAACTTAGGGTCACCTAAGTCTGCATCTTCTTAAACCACTGACCCACAGGTTCCTAATAATAACCTTAGGGAAGCCAGAGTCATCTTATAGGAACATTCTTTGTGATTTCAGGTCAGGGGTCTCATGCCTCTTCCTTGGTCTTAGATAGAAGAAATGAATGTTTGGAGACCTCTTGTACCTTGTATCTGGTTGGCTGTCCCAGATGTTTTAATGAGACTCCCCCACTCTACCCTTTCTTTGGACCCCTTTGAAGGGTTGGCAGGATACCGTGACTTGTCTGAAATGGCAGCTGTGGTTGGTGGCTGGGATTCTAAATGGTACGAATCTGAGCACACTTCTGGGAGGACTGGAATATGTTGATTTTTATTATTGCATCCACTTTCCCACAATGTCATCAAGAGGTCTTCCGACAATTAAATAGACTGGAGAAAATAATTGGTAAATCATGAAAATATTCTCAAAATCATAGATACCCAACCAATCCAAACTGGGACTTGAAAATTTTAACTCTTTCCTGCCCATCCAACATTCTGACATTGTTTCTTTGGCTCCTGCCTCAGCGACCTAATGACAGTTTTCAAATATTGCATAATAACTAGCAGATACTTGACAGTCTTCTTTCTGTCTTTTTCCAGAGTAGTTTCAACAGCATGGACTGATGTCAGCAGGATGCATAGAGGTGTGTCCCAGGCTAGCCCCTTCCATCAATCCTCCCTGACACCAGCCTGTTGAGAAAAGGGAGTCAGTCCCTTCCACTCCCCCTTCAGTCGGGGTCCAAGGAAGTAGAAAGAATAATTAGCTGGCTGTACTGGGGCTTTGTGTTTTTTCCCTCTGGTCATAATGGCAGAGTTAGTTCTTAGTATGTGACTCATGCCACAAATTTTTCCTTAAGTGTGTTTTCTTTTAAAAAATGAAATTCCACATCCCGGCAAAAGCCACAGTTTAACCGAAGACTAAAGTCGCTTGAAATATAGGGTGAGGAGGAGAAATGGGTCTAACATTTGGGTTATCTGGCCAAGATCAGCATTTGTCTGATTTAAATATGAACTTGGGCCATCCATATGCCTTTGGGATTTACTTTGTCTAATTAAAGGTACTAGGATAACTGTCTAGACATTCAAAGGAAAGATAGTAATATTTTTGGAAGATTTAAAGATCAAAACCACAAAGGTATTGGAAGAAAATATAAAGTAATATTTTATCATTTTTGGTGGTGATGTTCCTGAGAAAAAAATCGAAATTCCAAATACTAAATGAAAATGCTGACAACTTCGATGATACGCAAATTAAAAACATCTAGGGACAAAAAGCACTGCAAATTTTCAAGACAAGTGTCAGGTGGAGAGGAACATCATACAACATGGGACACATGAGTTAATATTTTTATACATGAAGAGAGTTAAAGCCAATCAGGAATGGGCAAATTACCCAACAGGAAATGACCATCACAAACAATTCACAGGGTTGGGGAGAGGAGGGGAGGATGGTCAATAAGAAGGCAAAGAGAGGGCGCCTGGGTGGCTCAGATGGTTAAGTGTCTGCCTTTGGCTCAGGTCATGATCCCAGGGTCCTGGGATCGAGTCCCGCATCGGGTTCCCTGCTCAGTGCAGAGCCTGCTTCTCCCTCTCCCTCTGCCATTCCCTCTGCTTGTGCTCTTCTGTCTATCCCTGTCAAATAAATAAATAATATCTTAAAAAAAAAAAGAAGGCAAAGAGATGTTTCCCCTCACTAGTAATTAAAGAAATGCAAAATCAAGGAGATCATTTTTCACCAATAAGATTGGAAAGTATTAAAGTGACTGATAATATCCAGTGCTGGTGAGTAGGTGGGAAAAGGCAGACTCGCACACCAGTTAGTGGGGACATAAACTAATGGACTTTTCTGAGCAGCAAGCTGGTGGTATGTTTTCACACAGTTAGTGTGCTTACCATTGGACTGAGAAATTCCACTTCTATAAATTTATCCTGAAGGGATCATCAGACAAGCTTGCAGAGATGTATTTATAAGGATGCTTGTCACAGCCCTACTTTGTAAACACACTTTAAACGTACATCACAGGGTGGAGGTGGGTTTGCATTGTAGCACCCACAGTGTATTATTATGCCATTTAAAAATAGTAGGAAGACCTATATTGACAGAACTTTTATGATATGTTGACCAGTGAAAAATAGCAGTTTACAACATCTATAAATAGTACAAATTGGAAAAATATAGAACTATTAAGATTAACTAAAAGGGTTGCTATTAATTATCCCTGGGCAACAGAAGAACTGGTGATGTTCATCTTCTTCTTCGAAACTTTATTCACTGTCTGAACTTTTTCACAGTGAGCAAACACCACGCTCATAACCAGAAAACAAATCTAAAACTAAACATGATTGTTTTGGGGGGAAAAAAAAGATTTACTTTCTCTCCAAAGAGAAGGGGATATTTATGGATAGAGATACTTAACCATATGAAATCTGTAAGACCAAGTAGGAAAAAGGAAATTTCAGGGTGTTTCCTTTCATCTTGGGAAACTGAACGCAGGGTCTAGATCCCAAGGATTATATATATTCTTAGCGTCTTCTGAAATCCCACATTCTACTAGTACCAAAATCTCATTGATGTGCAAGATGGAAATACGAATTTGGTTTCTCAGGTAGTCACCACTATTGGCCTGTTGGGTCACTTAAGGAAAAGCTGACTGCTCAGTAGCCTTGGGACCGCCGTCTCACTGTGTCACAGGGTGGCCACCTCACTCGCAAAGCATGGTCACAGGCTCAACAACAAGGTGTGATTCCAGAGACGATGCTGAGCTAGGGGCTGCAGAGTTTGAGCGCCTTCCCGCCACCTGCTTCATGACCTCGGTCTTAGTTTCATGACCCTTAGTTTTGTGCAGAAATACAAATGACTAGGGCAAGCTGAAACAATAAAACTCTTTTAATCTTTGAAATTCTGAATTGCCACATGTTTCTTATGTACTTGTTTTTGCTTGTTTTTGCTAAATTCAGTCCAAGAAGATATCCAAAAAAAAATTTTTTTTTTCCCTCTGCATATCTCTGGAGTCCTCATTGGCTTCAGATGCCTGGCAACTTAGTTTAATGAAGAAGGAACGGACTCTCAGTCAATGTCAAGTTGCATCGATGTCAACCTGATTTTCTCAAAATCAGTGGGGCAAAATGGTCCACTACAGGTTCATGCAGAGGTCACAGACCTGACTGACTTCTGGTTTATTTTTTTTTTTAAATCTTACCTAACACGTTTACCATGAAAAATCTCACTTTTTCTACTTTTGAAAAACAACTCCAACAGAGCGGTGTTTTGTGATAGCATTTTTCAAATCACAGGTGGGAGAATTTCTTAAATAGCTTAACATCCTGTCATATCTTTTTGGGAAACATTTAAAATGAAACCAATGCTAGATATGGTGAATTAGGCATGCAGATTAACAGCATGCATTCATCTGGGAAATTTTTCTTTTTAAGATTTTATTTATTTATTTGACAGAGAGATAGAGAGAGAGCACAAGTAGGCAGAGTGGCAGGCAGAGGGAGAGGGAGAAGCAGGCTGTCCACTGAGCAGGGAGCCAGATGCGGGGCTCGATCCCAGGACCCCAGGATCCTGACCCGAGCCAAAGGCGGCCGCTTAACCGACCGAGCCACCCAGGCGCCCCTCGTCTGGGAAATTTAATATGAGGTATTTCCAGGACAGTTGCCTATCAGCAAACATGTTCATCAGAAAGCTCTTAACTTCCTAGGAGTCAAAAATCCAAAGCATTTACCTTTTTCAGAAATATTTTAATAATACATGAAACACATTCTCATTGAACTTTATGATGAAAGCGTTTTGCAAAGAGGAAGTGGCAGAGAGGGGAAAGGAATGAGCAGAGAGAAAGAAAGGTGATTTCTTGTATTCTCTACCTGGAAGCAGTACCCAGCGCAGTGATCCAAGCTTGGAAAATGCCAGCAAAAAAGGAGAAAGGGTTTTTCCTGGTGACTACAAAGTAAATCAAGGGGAGAAAGATGCCCCCATGGATGATGAGGCCCACAATCACCGTGATCATGTACATCCCCAGTTGCCTAGCAACCACTTCTAAGTCCTTGATTGCAATGATCTTTCCACAAATTAGGCAGGCGATACCCAGGGGAGAGTACCTGAAAAACATAAAACAAAAACAAAAACAAAAAAACATTGAAGAGATCCTTATAGAATTCACAACTTATATCTGGGCCTTACATGTACCATAACCTGAGGAAAACCCTTCACATTTCTGTACCAAGAGTTTTGCTGGAGGAAGTCCTCGATATTCGACAGCTGTTCTCCTTCACTTCAGACTAACTGCACGATCTGAAATCTGTTCAGTGGATCTGGGAGCCCCTGCTCTGATGAAAAATCCAAAGGCGAGCCCTGTTGCTCAGGTGATTTTCAGGAATAGCAGACACTAGCTTTACCATCTCCCAGGTAAGCACCAAGCTTGAGAGGCACAGATGCTTCGAGAATCTTGTTTGGTTTCCCTGTTCCCCCCAACTCCATCCTTGAAAACCGGGAATCCATTTTGAGCTTCCCAGAAAGCTCATTAACGTTTCACCCAGCTCTAAGCTCGTGTTGGTGAATTTGCTTTGTTTTTGCCTAGGATGATAGGAAGTTTATTAAAATATGAGAAAGAGAGAGACAGAGACTGAGAGAGACAGAGAAAGGAGACCTACCAAAACAAGAAAACCCTCTGAGCCAGAGAGTCCATTTAGAGAGATGTGGTTTTATTACTTCTACGTCTGAAAGTATTTCTTTCCGTACTTACTCTACCAGGAATGCTGGCTACCCTGCCCTGTGTCTCAGGCAATACAGTAAGACCTCTGCATACATCACCTCATTTCATTTTTACCACAACCCTGAAATCAAGGTATTATTATTCTTATTTGGCAAATGAGGAAATTGAGGTTCAGAAAAGTCAAGACCAGTCCAAGACCACAAAACCAGGAAGTAGAAGGAGAACAGTCTCAGCGCCTGTGACTCTCCAAGGGTTGTTTTCCCCTTACCCAGCCAAACCACTTTTCTTTAATGAGCAATCGGAGCTCTTTGTACATAGGCCGACAGTTTACCATATACCGATTTATTCTACCTAAACTTCTTTCATGCTTCTATCTTGTTATTGTTTGATCGGGAATTTGGAAACAGTTTACTGCTGTCCTCACAAGTGAGGGCAGTAACTGTGCTCTCTCTCCTCTTGAGTGTATTTTTCCCATGTTGGGCAACATCCTTTTTTTATTGCCCAATCTGGTAGTGTTGGAGCATAAACTTGTTCAGCCTGCGACACCTTCCGACTGAAATGAAAATGTTTGTGGGGAAGTTGATACCTTAGTAAGAATTATGAACTTATTTGAGAAAAAGACTGGGGGAAATGAAGTCCCAAGATAAGGCTCCCGGCTGGGGTAAGGGAATCAGCAAAGGGAGACAGACACCCAAGCCAGATTTGCTGGTTGTTTTTTGTCTGTTTGTTTTTGTTTTTTGCAGTTGTGCCTGAAGCAAGCAAGCCCTTTCTTGGGTAAAGAAAAGATGTGGGTAGAGGTTCCTGAGTGGCTCAGTCAGCTAAGCGTCTACCTTTGGCTCAGGTCCTGATCCCAGTGTCCTAGGACTGAACCCTGCATTGGGCTCCCTGCTCAGCCGGGAGCCTGCTTTTCCCTCTCCTTCTGCCTGCAGCTCCCCCTGCTTGTGTTTGTTCTCTCTCTCTCTCTCTCTCTCCCTCTGTCAAATAAATAAATAAAATCTTTAAAAAAAAAAAAAGAGGTGGGTAGAGGAGAGTTATATACACAATTACATAAGACATGGAGCTTGTCCAGCCACTTACCAGGTACATGATCCTGCAGTGACTTAATCCCATTTTATAGATGTGCAAGTCGAGGCTTAGGCTAACTCCAACCTCATGGGATTGCTGCAAGGATTGCATTTTTGAGCATGCATATGTATGCACTGTCAAAGTCCCGCCCCCGTCCCTGTCAGCACCATTCTGACTGCTGACCAAGGAATCCTGTGGTCACACATGTACACCATGTCCTCTCCCCCACCATGCTTAAAGAGCCAAGTCTGAGTTAATGTGGCTTTCTAAACCAGCTCATAGACTACTGTCGCCCAATGGCAGATGTTTTTATGAGCAAAATACTTTGTCAAGAGGAACCTTCTGAAAGAGCTGATTTGTAAATGACAAGACTTAGTGAAGACCTTAGAATAACTCTCTTCCCTTATGAGCATCCAGCCTGTAGCCTCCATGTCTTTGAAGGCTGGCAATGTCTGAGGGCTGTTTCCACAGGCATTAGGGAACTATGTCCTTAAACCCTTGGCTTTCTCACCATTTTACACTCTCCTGGTGTGCCCATGGTCACAACATCTCCTAGATCAGTGGGGTTGTCTCAGGGGCCAAGTCTTTGTGCCAGGAGGTTGTAAGTAATGAGTATAATACACCTTCCCATAAAGCCAACTAGCATTTATCTTCATAAACCAAGAGATCAATTCTTTTCCAAGTACCAACCACCCTTTAAAGATGTCCAGAAAAACACAACTATGAGCTGTTCTGGGCGCCATTCAATTTTCCTGCTCTTCTGGAAACGCAATTTGCAGAATGGAGAAAAAGTATTTTCAAGGCTCTTTGCCAAGTAAGACCAGCTATCCAGTCCTCCTGGAGAACCCATTTGAGCCACAGCCAAATGAATCAGAAAGAGGAAACATGTTACCTCCAGGCACTCAGCTTGCTGGGAGAAATATGAGTTCCCACTGTCAATGGAGAGTGTTACTCAAAGGCCAGAAGGTAGAGTGTCAGGGTAAATAAATATGGCAAGCAGGGACCTTAGTTAACCCAAACATCTTGGTCTCCAGAACGAGAATGAGCATTAATTCGGACAAGGAAAGAGCCTTTATCCTCTATGGTGCCTTTTAGGGCCATTACTTCCCTGCACCTGTTTTCAAAATGAGTAGCTTAAGCTTCCACTCAGGAGCTGGAGCTTCTGAGCTCCTGGGTTTCTATATAATTATCTCATTGAAAATGACACTCCACGGAAAGGAAAAGGACAAATGCCCAAGATTCAAGGTTACCACGCAAAGCTTCTGAGTTGAAGCAAACAATCGAAGCCATAAGCCAAGGCACATGAAGAGAGGGCTCCAGTAAGCTCCTGAAGCCAAATGGTACCCAGGAATCATTGGACCCATTTCTAAATTAGAAGGGCATGACTGGATGCAGGATCTAGTTACAATGTAGCTGTAAAGCGCTGCCTTGTCTTTGCCCCCTGCTCAAAATAAAGCTGTTACCTTTCTAGCCCTGTCCGCCATGGTGCTTGGCAGCCAGGGATGCATGGTCTCAGA